TTTTTTTTTAAGAAACTAACAAGCTGCCTCTAACATTTATATAGAAATGCAATTTTGAAAAGGAAAAACAAAGTTGGAAAACTACCTTCTTTCAAGATTTACTATAAACCTAGAGTAATCAAGACACTATGGCACTGGCATGTAGACATATAGGTCAGCAGAATAATAGAGAGTCTAGAAATGAATATATACATAATAAAATCAATTTTCAACAAATGTGCCAAGGATAACTCAATGGGGAAAAATAGTTACCAAAAAGGAGCACACAGAAACTTGTTGGCATTATGGAAATGTTTTGTAACGCCATTGCAGTGAGGGTTACATAGTTTCATACATTTGTCAAAACTCAAATGTATACTTGAAATGTGTACATTTTATTGCATATAAGTTGTATCTCAACAAGCTGATTAAAGAGAAAGAAGCCAGCGTGAGAAAAGATATGTTGAGGGTCCCAGAGCTAAGATGGTGAGACAGAAAAGCTACCTGCCCTGCAACAGCCTCCTCTCAATGCCATAGCTTGTGAGAAGGCAGTGACTTCCAGTGAGGAAAGAACAAGGAGATCACTCAGAATACCAAAGATTTTTGTGACTATGAACCTGTCTACCTGTGATCTATCACATCTTCAGAGAAGAGACTTCTTTTCCATTAAAAGAAACCAGGATTTTATGAGGAACCAAAATTTAAAATCTAGAGTTGAGTCATTATTTATATTCAGAACTAACTGGCTGCTAATAATAAATGCTAGGTATCCTTTTGGGCTTTTTTCCCTCTTGTTATAAAAGTTCTATCTCTGATATTAATGTCAACTTTCAGCTTTTTAGGGCAAATGTGTAAGTTTATTTTATAGTGGGAAGCCAAAGGTCCTTATGATGAGAGACACAATCTGTCTGAGCTGGTCTGAAGTGCAGATTGTACTCTGCATTGTGGAAAGGGACTTTTTCATGGCACCATGGAAAAACTTCTGAGTTTTTCAGAGATATCATAAAGGTATGAAGAGCTGCCATGGACTGTGTGTCAAGGAATTAGAGCTCCTGTCCAGATGGTTCATTTTCCCCATAGTGATTGCTTTAAGATATGGGCATACCAGTCAGAAGAGAGTCTTGAAGGTTTTATTCTACATACAACCACATTGTCACTGTGCTATCAATCATGTGAGCATGGGCAATGCCATCCAGCTCAGAAAGGAGAATCTGGAAACCATTTGCAACTTGCAGGGGACAGGCGCCCTTGGCTTTCATGAGGCCCAGGAAAGTTCTCAGATCAGTGAACTGTGACTGAAGGCAACATTGTTATCAGGGCAACTGCACAAGCCAGTCAAACAAGATGTGGTCAGTGCCCTCTTGACTATTACCAGCAGTTTATCATTGATTTGTTCATACTGAGATGCTTGCCCTGTGGTCAGCCAGTGGTTGGAGCATGAAGATTTTGCTCAGTACTGGGGAGAGGTATACTAAGAAGAAGGAAAAAAACGTTTCTAACTTCAGGGAGCCTTTGACTAATACTGAAGGCCAAGTTACGTGCAAGTATACATACACATTAAACCTTGTGTACTTAAAGGAAGGGGTGGGCCAGCAATTACATCAATAAAAAGATACTACATTTAATTGAGCATATAGAACTTGTTATCAGTGCAGAAAAGCAGAAGAGAGGAATGTAATTTTCTTTTGTAGAAATGAGAATACTAGCAGAATGAATGGTAGATGTACGCAATCAGAAAGTCTAAGGGAAAGGTATTTCTACATTCAATTTTGGGTTAAAAAAAAGCTTAGAATAACACCTACTCTTATTTGGAGATGGAGTTTTAGCAAGAGCTGGGAAAATCTCAATTAATAGAGCAAGATAGCAGTGGCATACTAATAGAGAACTGTCCAGACAAAAATTTTTCAGCAAAGGTATATCATGTTTTAATTTACAAGCAGTGAATTTTTTTAAAGCAGTGTTTTTCAACATTTTGTGCTGGAGCCATTGGACATCCAAATGGAAAAAAATATTAATCTTGACCTAAACATCACACTTCATACAAACTTAACTCAGGATGGATCACTGGATTTAAATGTAAAATGTAAAACAAGACAACTTTTAGAAGGAAATGCAGAAAATCCTTGGGACCTATGACTTGGTGAACAGTTCTTAAGCATGACACTGAAATCACGATTCTATAAAAAAATAAAAACACATTGGATTTCATCAAATTTAAAAATATTTTCTCTATGTAAGACCCTGTTGAGAAGATGAAGAGAAATGATACACTGGGATACAATATTGGCAAACTACCTATCTTACAGAAAAAAAATCAATAGTAAAAGGCCAATATAATTAGAAAATGAGCAAAAGATAAAAGACATTTCATCAAATAATATGAATGGCAAATTTGTATATAAAAATATGTTCAACATGGCTAGCCATTAGGGAAATGCAAATTAAGACCAATTAGAATAGCTAAAAAAGGTGACAATACCAAATGCTGGGGAGAATGCAGAAAACCTGGATCTCTTGTACATTGTTGCTGGGAATGTAAAATGGTATGGCCAATCTAGAAAAAGTTTGACAGTTTCTTAAAAATTTAAACATGCTCACCATGCAGATCAGCCATTGCACTCCTGGGTGTTTGTCACAGAGGAATGAAAACTTAGATCCACACAAAAAACTATACAGGAATGTTCACAGCAGCTTTCTTTGTAATAGCCAAAAACTGGAAACAACTCCAGTGTCCCTCAGTAGGTGAATGTTTAAATCCCATGGAATACAACTCAGCAATAAAAAAGGAATGGACTAGTGATCACATAGCAATTCAGATGAATCTCAAGGGCATTATTTGAGTGGACAAAAGCCACTCCCAAAATGTCACACATGGTATGATTCCATGTATATACAATGTCTTCAAATGACAGCTGGATAACAGAATCTACACGTGATAAAATGGCATAGAGCTATGCATACACATTGTGCCAATGCCAGTTTCCTGATTTTGATAGTATGCCATAGCTACGTAAGATGTAACTACATGGGGAAGCAGGGTAAAGGGCACACAGGGACCTCTGTATACTGTTTGTGCAACTTCCTGAAAATATATAATTATCTCAAAATAAAAAGCTGAAAAACAAAAAAATAAAAAAGATATGTTCAGCACATATTATTTAGGATTACTATACAAATATATTAATTATGCCAACAACTCAGTAAGAAAACTGCCACCAAATAGGTGATAAAGATTTATGCAGGTTATTGATAGAGGAACAAACTCAAATGCCTATTAAGCATGAAAAACATGTTTAACCCCACAAGTAATAAGCACAAATTAAAACAAAAACCATATCATAGCCATCATAGGAGTAAAAATCATAAGGTCTGATAATTCAAAATCTAATAAGGATATGAGAAAAATTCTCCTAGAAAGCAGTGTGAATGCTTCAGAGAGCAATTTAGCAATATCTCATAAAGTTTACAAAGCACACACTCTACAACACAGCACTTCCACTTCTAGTTATGTATCAGAGCAAATCTTGCATATATACAGTAGGAAACACATACAAGAATATACATTTTAGAACTGCTTGTAATAGAAAAATTAGAAATAATATCCACAAATAGGAAAATAAATTTTTGAATTCATAAAATGGTTAAAATTAAATATATTTAAATACACAGAGTTGAAAAATACAATATTGACAAAAAAGCTGCAGAGTGACACATTCAGTATGAGATCATTTATGTGGACTTAAAACACTTAAAACAATCCTTGAAAACAGGGATTCGATGGATACACACATCAAGTTTACGATAAGGATACTTGTGGGAAGAAACAAGGAGCAAACTGAACTGGAAGCAGAACAAAGGTGACTTTAATTGTATTTATAGTATTTAGTTATTTTAAAATGTCTGATGCAAAAATGACAAAAGATTAGCATTTCTTTATTCTAGATGGTTGGTCACACAATTGAATATTATTCTCTAAGTTTCTGTAATTTTAAACATTTCAAAATGAAAAGAATATTTTTAAAAGCTAATAAAAATATGAATGAGGGAGTAAAAAGCATTAACTTTTAATTAATAGGCTGGATTCTGAGATAGCTTTAAACTCAAAAGTAGTATTTTACTGTAATGTCAAATTTAGCATTTATCTTAAGGGTTCACAAACTAAGTTAACTAATATTTTTGTTTTTTAAATTCCTAGAGTTTACAGACTACTATAAAAAAAAACATACTTTTTTTAGGCTAAATATTGGAAGATATTCATAGATTTCTGGCTATGTGACTAAATAAATCTTACTTATGAAACTCCAGGATCACTATTCTGCTCATCACTTTCACTGTCCCATCATGTGATCATCATACGCACCGCGAGGTCTCCAAAGCCAACAGCCCACGCCCATTAGAACCCCTTTTGGCTCCCATGACTCTCAGGATCCATCTGGCTTATCTACTACTCTGGTCATTATTTCCATACTAAGGTTTATTCTTTGAGTTCATGTGTAAGCACAGTTTCTGGGGTCTTTAAATCTTAAGAGAGGAACTTTTGATATTCTGCTCAACTATAAGGACACACACAATCAATTAACGTGAAAGGTCCCCTCCTTTTATGTTAATATCATTATGCTTACTATTTTTTTTTTTTTTTTTTGAGACAGAGTCTCACTGTGTTGCCCAGGCTAGAGTGCCGTGGCATCATCCTCGCTCACAGCAACCTCAAACTCCTGGGCTCAAGCGATCCTCCTGTCTCAGCCTCCCGAGTAGCTGGGACTACAGCCATGCGCCACCATGCCCGGCTAATTTTTTCTATATGTTTTTAGTTGTCCAATTAATTTCTTTCTATTTTTAGTAGAGACGGCGTCTCGCTCTTACTCAGGCTGGTTTCGAACTCCTGAGCTCAAACAGTCCACCCGCCTTGGCCTCCCAGAGAGCAAGGATTACAGGCGTGAGCCACAGCGCCCGACCCACTATTTTTATTTGATAGGAAAGGCTCACTCTACAAATATTAATTGTCTCAAATTACCACTCACCTCTGGATAAAGATGGAAGCGTTTCACTGTATTGATTACAAGAGGATATTCAGTAAGCCTGTCATTCATAATCATCCACAGTCCTTCCAAAAATGAAGGTGCTTCAATAATGGTCTTGAAGTAGGAATAATAAAGTCCCTTTAGAAAAAGATACATATTATTGATATAAGTAAAACTTTATAAAAATATATGACCTTTTCCTTCTTTTAGAACATTTTTTTCTAAAAGAAGGAAAAGGTCATAATAAAACTTCTTAACTACTCCTGGCTATTGCATTCTTGGACTCAAAAAGCATGTATTTTTAGGTTATTCCCATATTCTTTCAACTTTTCTATAGGTTTGAAAATTGTCAAACTAAAGAGATAGAAGGATGGTCAAATGTTTTAAGGAGATTTTCTAATAGTGCCTTAAAATATGTATACAGCATACTTTAATTTTACCACATCTGCTTTTACCCCTACATTATGAGATACTTGGAGGCTGGCATCTGATGATTTCTATCATAAACGGATGCCTTCATGCCACCAAACAACTTTGCATATATAAAATTATTTCTTTTTTCCCCAAGCTTTTAGGAAATAACATATAATTACCATCAGCATCATGGGCATGGAACTCCATGCTTCCAGCTTACTTGACAGCTCTATCTAATGGCATGGCACAAAGTGAAAACTAAATGTCAATTGACTCTTGTTGCTCACAAATGCTGGGTACTGAAAAGGGAATTCTTTTAGTATACTGCTCCAGTATATGAAATAATGGGTAGTAAAATTGCTGATGAGTTAAAATTCATGGTTTAACAACAGCATCTTGTGTCTTATTTCCCTCATCAATTTCTTGTTTTCCTTCCTAAAACCTAAAAGCAAATAAAGGGCCAGATTGTTTATAATATACTCTCCCCAGAAAACATTAATCTTTAACTCTATAGTCATTTTGGCCTCATCCAACTACTTTATTTTCAGTAGATTAAGCAACACTAGTAACTACTAAATTAAAGATGTTTTAGCTGACGTCCGGAAGGCCATTTCCTCCTAGTTTTGATTGGTAAAATATGAGTTTGTAAAGGATTTTCCTTTCTGTTTAGGAGGATAATAAGGCAATAAAACAATTAAAAGATATCTAATATGTAAAAGTCTATATTCAGAGAAATATTAAATACATAAGAATGTTTTATTATAAGCTATTTTTTTGTGCCAAGTACTGTGCTATGTGCTCCCGTTCATGATCTCCCTACATTTTCACTAAATCCCTGTAAAGTTGGCATTATTTCTATTTAACATATGAGATTACTGAGAATCAGAGAGGCTGACTAGCCATCATACAATGAAGCACAGAACTGTGAACAAAATCCAGTGATATGTCACCAAAGCCCACACTCTGCCCCAGCTACGCTCTTTATTTAATAATATTTTATATCTTCTTTGGAAATACCTTTGAAGTATTCAAATGCCATACAAATGTTAACATATCCAATTCTTCAAAGCTTTACAGGGGCTATAGGGATGAAAATCAAAAAGCACTGGCTGTGGTGCCTAGAATAGGCAAATTCACAGACAGAAAGTAGGGAGGGGGATTAGGGTTTAGTTTATACAGACTTTCCATTCAAGATAGCAAAAAGTTCTGGAGATGGACAGTGGTAATCGTTGCACAACAATGTGAATGTACCTAATGCCATTGAATTGTACACTTAAAATGGTTAAAATGATAAATTTTATAAAACTTACATTTAAATTTTTTAAATTTTAAATTTAAATTTTACCACAATTTAAATTAAAAAGCAGTGGCTACACAGTAAGGGGAGCCAGTTTTAATGCTTCACTCAGCAGCCCCCAACCAGCTGTGAGCTGATCTGGAGGACTGTTTTGGTCTCCTCTACATGTACAATTCTACAATTCTGGCATTCATTACCCCATTTAATCCTCACAGTAATTATGTGAGACATGTATGGCAGAGAACATTATCTCCGTTTTACAGATTCAATGTCAAAAAACAGAAAAATTACCAAGAAATTATATCAAAAGTTATCTGTTAAAAGAGATTATCTTGAAATCAAAAGAGAGCTAAAAACAAAAAATTAAAAGACCCACGTAAAACATGGGATCTCCCGAACCTAGCCAAAGAGATAGGAATTTCCGATAATATTTGATACCCTGTATCACTTCTTCAGTGCTGTCTTTGTTCTCTGTCTTCATCTGCTATTATAATTGATCTTTATTATTTTAAAAAGAAGTCTGCATTAGGAAAGGGGGAGAGATAATGAGATAAGTGAAAGAAAAAGAATCTCAAACACTTTTCATACCATATTATATTAATAGCTTAAGAAACAGTGCAGTTCACCAAAAGGTCATTTTCGTTCCCAATAAACTTCTACCTTATAGTCTTACTATTCTGAAACCACAAATTAATTCATCAGAAGAAAGAACCTAACCATTTCAGTGCGAAAAGTCATCTCCCGTTCCAAAGATGAGAGGTGAGAAAAATGGCGATCATTTTCAAAAAGTGTTATTAAATGTATCCTAGGGAAAAAAATGAAGTATCATATTATAAGTAGAACAGGTTTCAAAATCAATATTAAGTTATAGATAAGCAAAATAAGAAAGCCATAAAAACGAAAAAAAAATTTTTATAATAAATATTCAGACAATTTTATAATTTGCTCACTAACTGCTGTGTTTTTTAGACATTTATAATCTAGTGTAGCATACACCTGGAATTCCTTAACTTGCTGGTTTTTTTTTTTTTTTTTGAGACAGAGTGTCACTCTGTTGCCCTGGCTAGAGTGCATCACAGCAACCTCAAACTCCGGGGTTCAAGCGATCCTATTGCCTCAGCCTCCCAAGTAGCTGGGACTACAGGCACGTGCCATCATGCCTGGCTAGTTTTTCTATATATATTTTTAGTTGTCCAGCTAATTTCTTTCTATTTTTTTATTAGAGACGGGGTCTCGCTCTTGTTCAGGCTGGTCTCGAACTCCTGAGCTCAAACGATCAGCCCACCTCGGCCTCCCAGAGTGCTAGGATTACAGGCATGAGCCACTGCACTGGGCCCAACTTGCTGGTTTTTAAACTTACATAGCTAAAATTCTTGTGGATCCCTCCATCTTTTCTACCACTGCAGGCCACTAAATCAGAACAGAGGCAGATTTTTATTTGTTTTTTAAGATTCACACGTGATCCTGATGTAATGGGATTGGGAAATATCTCTTTAACTGTTGAAAAGCATTCAGAATATAATTTTCAACAAAATTCCTTTAGATTGAATTAGTTTTTAAATAACTATAATACCGCATAAGGGATCAATTTTTAAGTGCCAAAGAACACAAGACTATACTTGATATTTTAGTGGTGTAACTCAATAGTTGTAGGAGGTGAAAAAAGGGGCATATGTGATAAACAAAATTAGTTATCATCAGCAATTATGCTATCTTTATATAGTATGTGCTTTCCAGTGAAGTTGAAAATAAAGCAAAATTCCATATATCAACCCTGTTTTCCACTAACCCTTCTTTATATGTAGGACATACGGCAGGGTACCAATAGCTGTAGGAATATTTCCTACTATTACAGCCTTTGTTCTAACATCAAAATCTCCCTGTAGACTGAATGGCCAGAGCAGCACTGTCCCAACAGAACATGGGGGTAGATCCCATTTTTCCCAAGGGTAGAAATTCCTGAGCTCAGGTAGAAATGAAAATATTCCAGAGTAAAATATTATTGTTTTACATATGATTTATACAAACAGAATACTTTAATAAAAGAATGTGCATAGCCATGCACACTGAAAGGCTCCAAGTCATTTAACTCTGTATTACTACTGCAAAATCATCTTCACTTCTACGTGAATTCCAATTGGCAGGTGTTAATAAAATTTTATTTCTAAACTTATGTCACTAACAACACATAGGTATCAAAAAATAAGGAAGTATTTTAAATGAAACATACATAATATACTGGAAAAGCTAGATATCTAAAGAAATATAGTATTTAATTCCTCAGTAAAGCAAAAATATTCATAAGTTACCATTCCCCTAATATATCTATTTTGTAAATGCTGCTTCACATGAGATTTATCAAAAAGTAATATATATGTGTAAACTGGTATTTCTATAGCTGTTCTATACAGATGGCCAGAAGTTATTATTTTATTGTCTGCAAACAGCAATAGAAAATTAATCCAAATGTTTTTACTTATTTCAAACTGAAACTAAATCTTACCAGTGCAAAATTCCCACAAAGGCAGCTGGAAAAAGAAAAAAAAAAAGAAAGTTATTAAAAGCTGATTTATTATAAAATATCTTTAAAACAAGTATTTCAAATGCATTCCTTTGTACATATAGAGAGATAATACATAAAACAAGATGGCCAGCTATTCCTGTCTATATGAGAGTAGGGAAAAAATCCAGAAGGGCACAAAATTGTGAATAGTGCTTACTTCTACAGGGGGAACTTAACGAGCAAAGAAAGAGATTGAAAAGGTTTTTATATCTCATGTGGAAGTTCATAAAAGAGTGATTGAATCATGGATGATTTTGACCTTTTTGTGATTTTTCAATATTATTCTCTATTGTCTCATTCTCTAATCCTTTACATAAAATTTTAAAAAGAAGTAAATATATATAGTCAGATAGATTCTTTCAGAAAAGACTCGAGCCAGCCAGAGCCACCCCAGACCACTTTCCCTCATCAGAAGATGGTTAAATGCAGGCAATCACTTCCTCAGCAGCACATTTGAAAGCCCCATCACGAAATTCAATCGCTGATGAATTGCAAGCTCTTTGTGAGCTCCTAGATTGCTCAGAAGACTCCTCTATAGTCACTGGGCTAATGCCCCAGGCACAAGGCTTTATCAGGAAGCTGCAAGACAGGTCAAATAGTGAAGCTGCTCTGGGTATAGGGCTTTTGGAGACACTGCAAACACAGTCTGTCCCCTCTGGTGGCTGGGAAGTTCCTTGTTTGCAAGGGTACCACGGAGCTGCGCAGAGGGGATAGGGATAGAACAAGTTAAAATACCACAAATCTTGCTGTTCTTACAGAGGTTCAGCAGCTTTTCTTGAATTAATGCTCTTTAGATTATTGTAAACCTTTGGTTAATTTCCAAAGTTTCAAAAAAGCTGACTTTGATAATTTTCCAAGTATTTTCATTATTGTCATGGAGGAGTGAACTTAACTTGGCTATTCTAGAAGTCCTGCGTCCCCTCTAAGATTTTCTAACAGTATTTCTTATGGTTGTCCCAAATATACTTGGCAAGTCATCTTACAAACCACCAACATTAACTCCTTAAAAAAATTTAAAAATTACTCAACTTGGCTAACAATATAAATAC